GGTGTGTGTGAGGTGTGTCCTCTGTACTGGACCAGGTGTGTGTGAGGTGTGTCCTCTGTACTGGACCGGGTGTGTGTGTGAGGTGTGTCCTCTGTACTGGACCAGGTGTGTGTGAGGTGTGTCCTCTGTTCTGGACCGGGTGTGTGAGGTGTGTCCTCTGTACTGGACCAGGTATGTGTGTGAGGTGTGTCCTCTGTACTGGACCAGGTGTGTGTGTGAGGTGTGTAATCTGTGTGACCCCAACCAGAGGTATAAGATTTACATCACATGGGATTTAAGGTGGCTAATGTTGTGGTCATCTTGATTCAATTGCACACAAACGAATGAAACTTTTAATTGAGTGGTGCCTCCATGTCAAACGGTAGTTCTACCAGTGATCACAAAATCACTGGTCAGGTTTGTGTAGCACGTTTAACCTGTACTGTGCAGTAGACTCAATGTACAATAAATCTACTTAGGTTTGAACTTTCCCAAATAAAACAAATTACATAGCCATTAGAAAGACAACACTATTTAGTAAGTGCACTCAGTCTATTAAAAAGAAAGTCGTTGGTGCTTGTTGAGGGGAACAATTATAAAAGTCCAAGGTTTCACAAACTGATTTTCTTTAAAGAAACGCAGAGTAATGTTAATGTCTTGAAAGCAGTTTCGAAAGACCCAGACTCATCCGCGGTGATAAAGTGGAACATATTGAGTCACAGTCCTTATGCTCCAAAAAAACCCACAGCACTCCCGGCAAAAACAGTATATTCTGTCCTGTGCCAAACTGTCTTCAGCTGTAAGTAAACAGGTTTACTCACAACCTGGCGAGCAGGAAAACTTCCTGCTGAAACTCTCCTCTGAGCCCCACAGATCCAGTTTTTTGGATCCTCCTCTCTGTACATGATGTTCTCCACACCCATTGTCAACAGGTCCACCTCAATACTCCAGTACAGCAACATTTTACGTATTATATTGCAATAAAATGACAATCCTCTTCAACATTATATCCACTTTTTCTCAAGTGCTAAGACACTTTGAATGCAACTGTGGATCATGGCAGTAAAACCTTATCCAAACGAGCAAAGCAGGAACACGTTCCGTAAGATCTAATTATTTATCATTGTTTAGACACAGATATCAAATGCCAAGCACCTCTTGTGCGAAACAGTAAAAAATAATGCTCTACAGATGACAAAAATAAATTAGAAATATCTCCTCAAACAAAACTCAGTCATTTGCCCCCAATTAATAACCACTCTCACGTGGGTGACACCCTATTACACACATGCAAATAATCGTTCCCTAATTGTTAACTAACCACTCAGTTCATAATCACGTATAAAAGAGGTTGGAGACAGATGGTCAAAGAGGAGGAAGAAAGGTATCTCAGGCCCAGATAGAGCTGGTCAAAGGAGTAGAAGA